CCCCAAAACCCCAAAACCCCAAAACCCCAAAACCCCAAAACCCCAAAACCCCATCGAATTATTTAAATGCTGAAATGTATTTGTGGAGAATTTAGATCTCAATTATGATATTTTAAAATCTCCTTTCTAAAATTCACGCACAAGTAGTTTATTTAGCTTGCTATGAAGATACGCTATATGCTTAAAAATTATGTTATGTTGACTAATTGCTCAACTATAGATAATTTTCTCCCTATATTTCATCTGATCACTACAGTGATCCTGTAAATTTACTCCCAAAGCAGATCATTCAGTTTCATCACTCAAGCTAACTACATCTCCTGGGACTAAATCCTTAATACTTCACATACCAGTAAAATTCCGAGAAGTTGCTATAAAAGAAAGCACATCCAAAGCATCAGTAATTGCCATTATTTCGTTAGTGAAGGTGATATAAGAGAATTTAGTGAAATTTCTCTTGATCTTCTTTGCTAAAGCTTTTAGAGTTTGAGTTGAAGGGTTGCTTGGAACTATATATAAAGGTCTGAAAGATACTCAGGCTCAGAATTTATAAACATACAAATAAAATGATTTTGGTATTCAAAAGTCTATCACTGATGAATATTTTTAATAAAGGTACCGTTAGAGCTTTGGATATCTATTTGAAAAGATCATAAAACTGTTCATTCAAGAATGATATAACTTTAAACTTCCTAAAGAGTTTCATTCTTCTCATTTAAGCATGAGTAAGTTCTCATAAGTTCATGTTTAATCTTGATAATGGGAATCGAGAATAACTCAAGCTTACCATTGTGAAAATGCTTGATTCTGAAATAATTTAAAAACTGCTCTTGTTCCCTCATAAATTCTGTAAGAGTTAGTTTATACTTTAAATTGTCTGAAACTGGAGAATTTGGCTTGGCTCCAGTTCATCTTAGCAGTTTACATAAAGTTAGGACATTCTTAGGGAGTTCATTTGGAATGGCTATTTTAACTTCTTCAAGGATACCTTCTGGAGCCATGAAGCCATATCGAGAAATCAGGTTAGCTCAAGAAAAGTCTTGGGTATATGCGAATCCGTACTCTTCTCCTGCTATAAAATCACCTCCAATGGAGAGATAGAGGAAGCCAGGCTTTTTATCAAAGAAAAAAGACAAGTATTGTGTTTTAGAATTCACTATGGGTTAATCTTTACTTTACTGTGATACTGAATTTTTTGGTAATCTTTCTCTGTAGGAACAATCATGTTTAGGATATCAAAAATAGGCAGCAGCAAGTGTAGTCTAGTCAGCCCAAGCTTTTTATTTAATCTCTGGTTCTCTTGATCAGTTGCTAGCTCTGAAAATGTTGAATTATAGTTTTTAGCTTCAAAATCAAAGCAACTATGGGATTAGATCAAGAGCCAAACCGTGTTTCTATAATATTGAATGCCCATTTGAATTGTTCCTTGTCACTGAGAACTTCTTCTATGATAAACAGAGATTCTTGGGTATTCAAACTTTTGAGCTCTCTTAGCAACTCATGATAGAAAGAGGAGATATTCTTAACCTTCGGCTCACTAAAGGTGATCTCTTTAAACATATCTATTTCTTGTTGGCTCCAAAAAGCTAGGTGGTTGAAGGAATCAATGGTTGGGAGGCTCAGGAAGTAATCTTCTCATTTAGAACACCCTTCTATGTACAAGGATGTTTTCTTGTATTTTGGAAATCTCTTATTGATTACTTCTCTGTCAACATTTATGTTTATAAGCATTTCTATTGTGGTCAGGACTTTTTCTCTATCGTTTTTATTCAGAGGGACTTCTTGATAGAATTTCTTTTTGTCAAAAGTATCATAAATAGGATCAATAAGAATATCTTTAAAGGGGAATTCGTTGTAGACGGAAAATACCAATTCTGAAGGAATTTTCATTGTATCTTTGCTTGAGGGAATATTTGAAGTAGCTTGCACAAAAATTCCTCTATTTTCCTCCCACTGAAGAGTCAACAAATCCTCCAAAACAGCATCCTCCATCAATCCTTCCAAAATCTCTTTCCTTATCTCAATCTCCTTTTGCCCACTGAATCCTTTCATAACCCTCTTTCACACCCCCAGTGACCCCAAAATCCCAACAACCACCAACACTACCCAACCTCTCTGCATAAATTCCCTTAAAAATCCTCTCCTGCTCCAAATTTCCATTTTCAATATAATATAACCTCAAAGGGGTTTTGGGGTTTTGGGGTTTTGGGGTTTTGGGG